CCCCCTATTTTAAAAAAAATCTTCACTAAAAAAATTTACCTTAAGAGCCTCATTGTATATGGGATTTAAATTGTTTATTCCTAATCTAATGGATATCAAAATCAATATTGATTGAAAATCTTTATTTAAAAGATTATTTTGGGCTGTTTTGTAAACATCATTTTTATATACTACTCCGTCAGTAGCTATGTATACATTTAATTGTGCATCTGAAAAATTTTCTACCAATGCTCTGAGATAATATAAATAATATTGTGAAAAGCATTAAGTAAAATTATTTTTATAATTATTAAAATAAAACTCATCATGTAACGTACTTTACAACTTGAGAAGCTATATATGGACCAAACCATTCACCAATATTCTTCCCAAGTTGTTTGCCTAATAAAGCAATACGGTGAACAGAAAAAGGACAATTTGATGACATATCATCTACAAACCATCTTATAATCTAAAATTAAATAAACAAATAAGTTAGTATTTGTGAGTGTTTTATAATTATATAAATCAAACCAAAATTCACAAAAAATTACCTCTACATATTTATCCCAAGTTTTCTCTCCTTTATGTACTCTACGCCAGTCTAAAAAAATAAAACAACGATAAGCTTAAATTTATCAAATAGTCTTTTTGATGATAAAATTTACAAATCAAGCACTACTATTGTTATTTGTTATCTAAAGATTCGATTGTCTTACATACCTCTTCCTAAAAATTGAATGAATAAAGCATTCGCAAGTAAAGATTGACTAGATCTCAACATACAGCCCCAACCACCATCATTTGTATAAGTAGTTGGTTTTATTTGTGGAAAATTGTGTCGGTAGGTACACCATACTCTTGAGGTAAAATCTTCATAAAATGCTGCAGGATAGCTAGAAGGTAATATAGTTTGTTGTTGTTGTTGCATCATAGTTGCTGATATACTAGGAAACGTACCGGGTGTTGAGTAGTAGTAATAATAGTTTGCAGATTCATAAAATGCAGCGACACTATTACTACTATTATTATTTTCATTATTATTTTGTGATTGTGGTAGTTGATCCTTGTCAACTTCATATGAAACACCCATTAACCAAACTAATTCTTTTGTCGTTGTCATATTTTATTTATTATGCTAATTTATGATGATTAAAGTAAATGAGTGAGTAATGAGCGAGTGAAAGAAAAAAAAGCAAAAGGGTTTTATAAAATTATTTACTGTAGACTAAATCGGTTATTTTACTACTTTGTACAAAACTTCCTAAAATTTGATTTTTTTTTCAAAATAAATTTCTAAAAGATGAGTCTAGTCGATGAAACAAGTTTTGTTTCTCAATTTTTAGAAACTTTAAGTACACGTCAAGTAAAATATCCTAAAGACTTTTCGCCACCTACACAAACACGCCCAAGACCAATAGTCAAGGTATTGTTATTATTATTTATTATTATTACACATATATAATATATGGACAATATATTAAACTTTTTTTAGACACCTAGTGCCCCTACAAGCTCAAAAAGTAGTAAATCAACAGGAAAAGGTAATGAAATTATAAATGATTCATCAGCTCAAGGTAATGTTTATTATTTCAAATTAAATATAAATATATTTTTTCCTAGTGAATTAACTAAAATAATATTTTTAAAATAGACACACCAATTCAAGTCTCAGTTAAATCATTAAAGGGAAACCTAACGCACAACGTACAGATAAACAATTCAGAAACTATCTATAACTTGAAAGAAAAACTGCAAAAAATAACCTCCTTTACACCTTCAAATCAAAGATTAATATTAAAAGGCAAAGCTTTAATTGATACTAAAACTTTGTTTGAATATGGTATTACAAATGATACTGTAGTTCATTTGGTTCATAAACCTGGATCTACTACTGGCGGTGAAAGTAATCTTGTTTCTGCTGATTCTTCATCTTCTCCAAAAGCATCATCATCATCATCACCACCAGTATCAAAAAATGATTCTCAACCTTCTAATTCAGGTATTAATAAAATTAAAGATTCACAATTCTGGATTTCTTTACAAAAATTATTAGTTGAACAATTTCCAGAAACAAGTGATGCTGATAATGTTTTAAAAGAGTTTTTTAATTGTTATAATAATAACAAGGATTTAAACATTAATATTAATTTAGAAGATTTAATTAACAAAAATAAATTATTAAATAACTATAACAATAATTTAATAATTATGTAAAAACAAAGCGAAATGTGGAAATTTCATCAA